CTTTACGGGAGTAGAAAGCCTCATCTTTCTCCCGCGGAGCGGCTGGTAGTTTCGAACCGCTGACCTTAAGGTTTGCAGCCCGATTCGTAACCACTTCTTTATTTCATTTATCATAGCATCATTACTGCTAAACTTGATTATCATTTCACCAATGGACTAGAAGCTCTATTAAAGCAGAAACAATAATACTATGTCAATCAGTGTCTATTTAGCCCCTAAGATTACTTCTATTTTTTTATTAAATAATTATTTATGATGGATCTACTGGGATCAGTAGATCCATCATAAATAATTATTTAATAATTAAATAGAAGTAATAAACAAATGACTATGTTATAATAAACTTGAATTTTCATTAAAAATCTATATTAAACATACTGTATTTATTACATAAAACAGACTTGAACAATAATTTCAAGTTTTCTATATTGAATTTTGGAGTCCTGGTGTGGCGCTGTGTCAGATTGCAAAGTTGTTTGAACTGCAAGGTTAGTGGTTCAAGCTCACCAGTTGCTCCTTGGAAACCCCCTATACAGGGTCACTATGGGTAGGAAGGGACTCGATTGCACTTCACAACAACATATTGAATTTAGCTCAACTGTTTACTGCTTAAACCATATAATATAATAGTAAACATTAATTTAAACTTTATTATTCCAAAAGTATCAGTTCTGTTATGAATTGAACTGTGTCCCCCAAAGTATGTATTATAAATTCTAGCCTCTATACCTCTGGTTATAATCCTATTTGGGATTGAGTTGTCTTTGTTATATTAATGAGGCACCGCTATTGTAGGATGTATCTTGAGTCAGTCTCTTTTGAAATACAAAGGATCACCCACAAGCAGAAGCTCAAAAGAGACAAAGATCTTCCTCCAGAAAAGACACCATGAATTTGGAATTATAACTTCCTAAATTATGAGAAGATAAACTTCTGTTTGTTAAAGTTATCCATTTGTAGTAGTTCTGTAATAGCAGCGCTAAGCTTTATAAAACTTAAGTTTACTTTTATTGTGATAATAGATACAAAATAAACTTTACCATGATATCGCTTCAATTTGCTTTGTTCAACTAGCCTGTCAACTTTTTTTATTAGTTCTTCTCTGATTCTTTCCAGATATCTTCTTTCTTCCTTCACTTGTTTCATTTGTTCAATAATCTTCTCTCCTAAAAAGATTATAACCCCAAACATCAATGTATGGAAATTATAGTTGGTTAGTCTTCCAAAGGAGCTCTGGTAGCGTAGTGGTTACAAATTGGGCTACGAACCTCAAGGTCAGCAGTTTGAAACTACCAGCGGTTTCCAGGAGAAAGATGAGGTGTTCTGCTCCCGTAAAGATTTACAGCCTCGGAAACCCTGTACAGGGTCGCTATGGGTTGGAACCAACTCCACAGCACATAACAACAACAACAGTCTTCCAAAACATGAACTATAAAAATTTAAAGGAAAGGGCTTAAAATAGCAAGAATAATTTTCACCCAAGGATTTCTTAAAGCAGTAAAGCATTTACCAATACGAAAATGTTGAGGAATGATTTATGTTTCTAAGAGGGCATTATTGGATAAGTACTGGACTTCAAACCATGCTAATTGCAAGGTCAACAGTTCAAGTCTACCACTTGCTCTCAGAAACTCTTTATGGGGTAACTATGAATTGGAATGGACTTGATGACACAACAACAAAACGAGAGTATCATGGGTTGGATTGTGTTCCCTCCAAATAGGTATCAACTAGGATGGGCCATGATTCTTGGTAGGCAGTTATCTTATAATTTGGCAGTTATGCAATGACATAATCATCCCCCATGATGTAATATTGATTTGATCAAACAAACTGTTGTAAGGGGATTAGAGTAGGATGCAGCACCCCAGTCACAGCCCTAGGGTGTGTGTGGCCTGTATTACTTTTAATTTTCACATGAGATAGGAGGAGAGAGAAGCAAGCAGACAATGAGGGACCTTAGTACTACTAAGAAAAAAAAAACTAGGATTGGAATGTTTCCTCAGAATCCTTGTGCTGAGAACCTCTTAGAAGCAGGGAAAGACTGATGTCAAGACACATGGAGATCTCCAGAGGATGCCCAGCCCACAGATGTTTGCATCGTCCATTAGCCCACTGAATTAATTGTTTGAGGCTAGAAGAGTTTTAATATGCCGAAGAGTAAAATTTACATTGTTTTAAAGAAGCTGTTGGCAGAATTATGGATTCCAAAGGCAATTCTAGTGAGGGCTCAGAGGAAGTGCAAAGAGCTGTAAC